GTTTGCAATCCATAGGAAGAACAACAATATCATCCAACCAGACACCCCAGAGCTCCCAGGGACCAAGTTACCAACCAAGAGTACACACGGAGGGACCCATGACTCCAGCCGCATATGTAGCAGAGGATGGCCTTGTTTGGCATCAGCAGGAGGAGGGGCCTTTGGTCCTGGGATGGCTTGATGCCCCAGTGTAGAAGAATAGAGGAATGCTAGGTCAGGGAGGCAGGAGTGGATAGATGGGTAGGGGAACACCCTCATAGAAGCAGGGGGGGTGGGGGGTGGGATAGGGCATTTCTGGAGGAGAAACCAAAAAAGGGGATAACATTTGAAATGTAATAAAGAAAATATTCAATAAAAAAATGGCAAATAAAATTTTTAAAACTATGATGTCAATGGATCAAAAACACAATTATGAAGGTTTAAGTATGACTTACCACCAGATACTGTGAAGAGAACTACTACTTTTCTTAAAAGAGTACAAGTGTCTTATATGTGCTTGCTTGATATTGGCAACTGAGTGGCATTACTGGTGAAACGCAAAGAACTGGAAAAGAGAAATTTCAAAGTCATTATAGAGAAATAATTCAATGTCAAAACAACACGATTTTTTTTGTTTTTGTTTTTGTTTTTAAAAAAACACAATGTTAATCAATCTTTTCCTTTAAAACTGCCATCTATAATAGTTCTCGATCTGGTCCAGTTTTTCTGCCTGCATATATACTGAATCCAAAACTATGATTCAGACCCATAATGCTCCACTTAAGACAAAAAGTCACCAAATTACCACAAATGCTTGATAGCCTGCAGTACAAAGTATCCATAAGGCTACATGATATTTACTTATTAGCCTTCAGAGTTTAATGTCAGAGAATACGTTCATTTCTTATATTCATAATTATTTCTAAAAGACTAATTTTTAAAGAAGTAAAACTGCTACATCAAAATACTCAATTTTTGTTGGTTTGTTTGATGTTGAGAAATAGTCTCATTATTCAGTCCAAACTGGCCTTAAAGTTGCCTCATGCTCCAAGTGCTGGAATTACAGGGACATACTGACTTGAAACAATCAAGTATTTCAGTTACTAGAGTATATATAAATTTGCTACATTTACCAACCCATATTCCAAAAGCCATATATCCCATTTACACTGTTATCATATCCTTCCCTGTAACAATTCACTTCTTTACATTCCATGCCATCTTTGACTGCCAATAAGTTTGTTGCTCATTCACAAATTCCCTACAGTAGTGGTTTGGCCCCTATAATTTTTTGCTTGAATGCTTGGCCCATAGAGACTGGCACTATTGGGAGGTGTAGCCATGTTGGAGTAGGTGTGGTTCAGTTTGAAGAAGTGTGTTACTGTGGTGGGTTGGGCTTAGAGGTCTCCTATGCTCAAGCTATGCCCTGTGTGGCAGTCTCCTTCTGCTGCCTATAGATTAAGTTGTAGAAATCTGGGCTCCCCAGCACCATGTCTGTCTGCAAGCTTCCATGCTTCTTGCCATGATAATAATGGACTGAATAATCCTCTGAAACTGTAAGTCAGCCTCAATTAAATGTTTTCCTTTATAAAAGTTGCCTCAGTCATGGCTTTCTTCACAGAAACATTAAAAAACAAAAAACAAAAAACAAACAACAACAACAAAAAAAACAAAACCCTACTGAGAAATCACTAAACTGCTGGAGTGATGGCTCAGTGGTTAAGAGCCTGACTCTTCTTCAAGAGGTCCTGAGTTCAATTCCCAGCAACCACATGATGGTTCACAACTACCTGTAATGGTATCCAATCCCCTCTTCTGGTCTGTCTGAAGATACCCACTGACACATCAGGCACTATATTAGAGTATAAGAATGCAATGACCAGGATAAACATAGTCTCTAGACTACTGTAAACTTCAATCACTAGGAAAAAAAAATAAACTCCACTGTTAGGGCCATCTTATTAGGCAAGCCCCCCGCACCCCCCCAACACACACACGCCTTCCTTATAGGTATAAAATATGAGGTAGGGGTATGTGTAAGTGCCAGGCATTTGCTACTTAGCTCAAATCTAGAAGCTATGAAAGATATGTTGAGAAGCATCCCCTAAGCTACTTAGATATGGAAGCCTGTGCTTTCATCTACCGATTGGCGGCTTTGAGGAGTCATTTAGGATGACTACTGTGAATTCAAAGACTGGCAGCTTTACTGAGAAGCTCCCTCTTGAATTTGCACCCTTATTCTCCTCACACCAAATAACTGCAGCTAGCGAAGTCCTACCCAAGAACAACAAAGAAGCCAAGCTACATAATAAGATTCTACCTATATTTGTTGCCTAAAAAATGTTAGTGGATAGATTTTGGCCACAAATGCTTTTATTTATTCCCACATCCAAGAACATGGATGGTACAGAAGGTTAGCAATCACTGCTCTCACCAAGAGACTGTTACAATCATTATACTAAAGAACTTTATATACATTGCCTCATTTATCACACAATATGTAATATTACTGTTTTTTTCTTTTTGCAATTGAAGATTCAGAAGGTACTTAGCCTGCTTAGAATTAGAAACACAAATAAAAATTCCAGGGGCTGAACCCAAGTCAGTTTGCTACATAATTTCAACCAAATAGCAGCTGGGACTAGGAAAGTTGGTACTTACACACTTGCAACTACAGCACTGCAAGGTCTTATATTCAGTATCTAGTACTATTAAAAAATAAAACATTTTCAGAGAAAAAAACACATAATACATAAAGAATTAAAAGAGCTGGCTGGGCTGGACATGCAGCTCAGTAGAATGCTTGCCAATATACTAGTTCAGCTATAGGTGTAGAGGGGGAGATTACTTTGGAAAAGTTAATATCAACAGTGAATATAAACCCTTTCCAGGATATGTATTTTTCACAGCATCAATAAAAGCAAGGCAGCAAAACAGCTTTACGTACCTTTGTAGTGAAGAACCATCTTCATCTGAAAAGGTCCTATCTCTGTCCTCATCATCTATCAATTTCTAGGCCTCTGGGATTTCATATCTAATGGGCTTCAAATAACCAATGACTCTAAAGGAACTGAAGACCTCCTGACACCAGAAAGTATTACAGATTGAAGATGACAGCAAGAGAGATTCTCAGTCTGGATCCTTTCCAAATTCTAATTTCTACACCCCTCCCTTTTTTGGAAAGAAAAGAAAAATCTCACAGCAGCAAGTAAATGTCAGTAGCTGCTTGGAAGAGGGAGGAAAGAAAAAGGCCATGCCATTTAAGCTCATCAAGTATGGAGGTCAGCCACGAAGCAGACAAGTAGGCACAGAAAATTAAACTCCAAAATGCTAGGGAAAGCATGCTTAAAACATGACAGAAAAGGTGTTTTGGGTAATTCAGAAAGTGAGCAGGCAGACTTTTGAAGCTGAGGGCTTCAGCTCTATAAGCAACAGCCTGATTTTAATTTGTATCCTTAATTACAGTAAAAGTTGTAGTTAAGTACAGTGCTTTCCTAAGTTTGTGAGCTATTACACATAAGAGGTGGGTGTGTTCATCAGCAGTTGGGGGTGAGGGTCTGCGAATCACCATGCTTGCAGTCTGTCTCCAGAGTAGAGGCAGTCTTCAGAGCCTTTTCTAACTCTAGAATTGGGTAGACTCACTAAACACTCAACACTGTGGTTTCTAAGGGGGCTATTAGAAGTTGCTGAATTTAAAAATCTAAAGCCAAAAAACAAAACAAAACAAAACAAAAACCAACCAATCACACATGCTTAGACCATCTTAATGTGCCATACAGTAAGAAAAACTAACGAGACCATGACAAACGTGCAAAACCCAATATTATAACGGCTCACTGCTGTAGTTTAATCATCCATCCATCCAAAAAAAATTTTTTTTTTTTACAAATAACTAAATAACATCAAATCTGTAAAAACTCATGTGTCTATAACCATAAACAAAACAAACAAAAACCCCTGAGGCTAGTGAGTTAACTAAGTAGGTAAAAGCACCTGAGATTATCCCCAGGATTCAAGTTGTGGAGAGAATTAACTCCTACCAGTTGTCCCCTGACTCCCATAGGCATAAGCTATGTCATGTGTCTTTTGACCATACACACAAAACAAATAAATTAATTTTAAAATTAAAATAAGATGCTTTCAGAGCCCATTATAAACCTGGGGAATGAAAATTAAGCTCTTAGCTTTCTTGCATGAAATAAAAGCCAATTTTTAGGTGAATATAGGAATCTAAGTCTAAGTTAAGTCCTAGATATTAAAGAATTTCAAGCTACAAGTTTTTCCTTATGGGATGCTTGCTCAGCATGCACAGTATTTTTTAGTTTGTATCTTTTAGTTTAGCATCTTTTAGTTTTTAATCTCAGCACAAACCCCCAACATCCAAAAGTTTTCTAACATTTTTATTTGACTGGAGGCTGAAAAGGTTGCTCAGGGTTAAGAGTTCCTACTGCTGATTTTTCAGGGAACTTCAGCTCAGTTCCCAGCACATTTGGTGGTGGCCCTAACTCAAGCTCTAGATAGGTACATTGCTTCTGGTCTCCACAGGAACCAGCGCACATACCCTGGACACACACATTATTAAAATAATATTTGTAGACATGCTTCTTTGGTTGATAATGGTACTATGGCTAAGACCAAATAAGTTGAAAAAACTAATGTGTAAAATGATACTCGATTTAAACTATTACTCTAATGGAAACAAATGGTGAAAAAGAGAAAACAACGTTAAAAAGGTTAGCAGAACTGAATTACGTTGAAAGATATATAGAATGTTGAATAGTACCTCCAACAAGTGAGGATACTTTGTTCATTTGTAAATTTTCACAATAAAACATTATAGGTAGTAGTAAATCATTTTAATCATATTCAACATTCACAATAAAACAATCAATGTACCATGAATAATTATAACCTTTCTAGAAAACCACTGGTATTTGTTAGGGTAAACAGAAATTTTATAAATTCAGACTTCCCTTAGTTCAATAATAATACTAGAAAACCCTCACCTTTTTTCTCTTTAAAATTGCATCAGTAGAAATACCAGGTTTAAGAAAATCAACAATGGCCGATATTGAATTTCTATGGCACCATCCTTGAAACATACTAGCAGAAGAGAACTGCTGAGAACAGGTACCCATGCAGTACAATAAAGACCCTTCTTAAGGAAATCATAGCCAGGCATGGGATGCTTTCCTTTAATCTCAGCATATTCTCTACAAGTTCAAGGCTAACCTGGTCTACATAGTGAGTTTAAGGACAGCCAGAGATACACAAGAACCCTGTCTTATTCCCTCCCAGCAAAAAGCAAACCATTTTCTTATGTTTTTAAAATAAATAAAATACTTTACATTATCATTAATAATAAATGTGGGGTTACTCATTCTTTTGGTGTAAACATTGTGGGAAAACATGGGGTAGTTAAAGAACAAGCCACAAAACATAAGCACAGCTAGGTGTTATGACTCACACCTATAATCTCAACACTGGGCAGAGTGAAGCAGGAGGACTGCTGGAAATTCCAGGCCAACCTAGGACACAATCTTGGTCTTCTGCTATCCCCCAATAAATAACACAATCAAAGATGTATAGAGAAAATGTTCAGGGCAGTGTTTAGAGAGAAAATGATACTATTAAGTATTGGATTAGCAACAGTGTTTCAAAACAGTAAGCTTCTATGGAAACAACATTTTCTAGTTATATTTATATTTTTTGCTGTTTTGAGACAGGGTCTGACCTTGAACTTGCCCCTGAGAAATGCTGGAATTAGACATGTGCCACTATACCTGTTACCTCTCCGGTTATAATATGTCCCCACTCAGCAGAAAAACAACTGAAAGCTCTGGTTCAAATCCCTCTACCACAATTTCTAGGCTGGACAATGAGAAAATTATTCTGACTTCCAGCTTTCTTCTTAAAAGCAGTATCGTATTCTTTGCAGTGCCAAATAAGAGAAGGGGGAAGGCAAAAGTCTAAACTAAAGCAAGATGGGAGCTGAAGGAAGTTACTAAGATGCAGTATGGGTATACTAGGCAGTCCTCTATGTCCAGGTTTTTGTTTCTCATTTCTGTTAAAAAAAAAATAAAAATAAAAAAATAAAACATAAAAAATAGCTGCAATATTAAAGCAAAGCTTACAAAGAGTTCTAGGTTCCAGCCCCTACTTACAGGGCAAAAATTATATAGTTAGAAGTTTCCATCAATCAACTGGTCTTTTGTCTGCTTGTTTTTTAATAGGGCCAAAGGAATGATTTCTCAAAAGTAAATCCATATTCTAAAAGCCTAGTAGGAAGACTAGGTCTACTGTGGTACCTACATGAATTGGGATAGTGTCTGGATGTTAAGCATATACATTAAATATGTCCTACATAATCCTCCCCTTGTTCAAAATGGACAAAAACTAATTATTTTGCATACTGATTAGTCATCATTACTCATGCTGATGTACCAGAACACTAAGCCTCCCAAAACTAGGCATGGTGGTATATGCCTGTAATACCAGCAGAGGCAGGTGGATTTCCATGAATTTGAGGACAGCCTGGTCTACATAGTTGAGTTCTAGGCTTAGCTAATGCTACACAGCAAGACTCTGGCTCAAATTTAACCCATTTCAATTCTTTACAAATGAAGTTACTTAATTTTATTTCCTGTAAGATCTCTCTCTTTTTTTTTCTTTCAAGACAGGGTTTCTCTGTGTAGTCCTGGCTGTCCTGGACTCACTCTGTAGACCAGGCTGGCCTCGAACTCAGAAATCCGCCTGTCTCTGCCTCCCAAGTGCTGGGATTAAAGGCGTGTGCCACCACCGCTTGGCTTTCCTGTAAGATCTCAATGAGAAATCAAGTTCTTAAATTATGGACTGAGCATTTGTCAATTCTTAGCATAGTATCTGTAGCCAATTCAGGAACATAAGCAAAAATACCTAATAATGCCTATTACAAAAGGACTGTGAACACCCTGTACACAAGGCAGACAATAAGCAATAAATATACTTTACTAAAAATAGTAATAACTGAAATAATAATCTGAGCCTCCTCTAAGCACATCATATACAAATCAAATTTCCACTGCATCAACACCTAATCAACATAAGAGGTACTTAAGATTTTTCTCATTCTTAGCTAATATCCAGCTTTCTTGTTTTAAAATTAAAAATCAGACACAAAGAAAATGAAAGAATAATTTGACTTGTTAGTGTATACCCTCCTAAGAATCTACAAAGTAAAGTATATGTGTCCTCAACCTGATTCAAGGGGTATACCATCTTTGGCTTTAAAACAAAAATGTGGGGGAGGCAAGCACTACGGCAGGTAACACTCTGAGGAGACTGGAGATATACACTCTGCCACAGACCAAGATTACCCTACCCACAGACTTCTGCCACAGATATTCTCTTCCACCATAGAACTTAAAGCTGCGATTTCCACAGACCCCCTCTCTCTGCCTTGGTGCTCACCCTACCAACTCTTTAACAAGTATTTCTGGGTAGGTGTGTAATGCAGGTACTTTACCTAACATGTTCCAGGCTCTGAGCTAACACATCAGAACCAAATACACAAGCTGTCTCTAACTTGCTATTTCAATCAGAGATCTTAATTTTAGGTGGCCATGATACTGTTTGAGAGCACCACAGTTCTTCCTGATAAAGGAAAGGTTTTATTTTAATTTTCCCTCCACAGTTTAGATTAAACACATTGTGGGAAATATAAACTTCTGTGTAAATGAGATAGAAATCTGTAGCTTTTGACAAGGGCAGACACTTAGCTGGTCTGCTCCTGTGGAGACACCATACCCTGAGCCATCCTAGAGGAGCCACTGCACTCAGAGCAGCAGGTAAGAACCCCCTGCCACTACCTACGCCCCTGAGTTACAACTGGGAGCCAGGGGCGCTCAGGACCCATCACCAACCCAAACCCTACCCTTCCAGAATACCACTTCTCTTCCGCCCCTTCACCAGGTCCTTTTGGCTGGGGCAGACACATAGCTGGTCTGCTCCTGTGGTGACACTGTATCCTGAGCCATCCTAGAGGAACCACTGTACACAGAGCAGCAGGATTTCAGGATCCCAGAGGCAGCCTGAGTCCCAGGAGTGCTTCCACCCAGGAGCTTAGGATCACAAGATCACAAAGACATCTGGACTCTGAAGAGTTCTGACAAAAGCACGATAACTGGAAGACAGACTCCAGTCAGACACAGTGAGTGCAAGCAACACTAGAGTTAACCAGATGGCTAAAGGCAAGCGCAAGAACATAAGCAACAGAAACAAAAGGTACTTGACATCATCAGAACTCAGTTCTCACACCATAGCAAGAACTGGATACCCCATCACACAGGAAAAGCAAGATTCAGAATTAAAATCACTCCTCATGATGATGATAGAGGATTTTAAGAAGGACATATGTAACTCCCTTAAAGAAATACAGGAGAACACAGGTAAACAAGTAGAAGCCCTTAAAGAGGAAACATAAAAATCCTTAAAGAATTGCCAGAATGCTGGGCAGTGGTGGCGCACGCCTTTAATCCCAGCACTTGGGAGGCAGAGGCAGGCGGATTTCTGAGTTTGAGCCCAGCCTGGTCTACAGAGTGAGTCCAGGACAGCCCGGGCTACACAGAGAAACCCTGTCTCGGAAAAAAAAAAAAAAAAAAAAAAAGAATTGCCAGAAAACACAACCAAAACAGGTGAAGGAACTGAACAAAACTATCCAGGATCATCTAAAAAAGGAAATAGAAACTAAGAAATCTCAAAGGGAGACTACCCTGGAGATAGAAAACCTAGGAAAGAGATCAGGAGTCATAGACGCAAGCATGACCAACAGAATACAAGAGATAGAAGAGAGAATCTCATGTGCAGAAGATACCATGGAAAACATTGACACAACTGTCAAAGAAAATGCAAAATGCAAAAAGCTCCTAACCCAAAACATCCAGGAAATCCAAGACAAAATGAGATCAGACCTGAGGAAAACTTGTAGAAATGAGAGAGAAGATTCTCAACTTAAAAGGCCGGTAAATATCTTCAACAAAATTATAGAGGAAAACTTCCCTAAACTAAAGAATGAGATGCTCATAAACATACAAGAAGCCTACAGAACGCCAAATAGACTATGCCAGAAAAGAAATACCTCTCGTCACATAATAATCAAAACATCAAATGCACAAAACAAAGAAAACATACTAAAAGCAGTAAGGGAAAAAGGTCAAGTAACATATAAAGGCAGACCTATAAGAATTACACCAGACTTCTCACCAGAGACTATAAAAGCCAGAAGAGCCTGGACTGACATCATACAGACCTCTAAGGGAACGTAACTGCCAGCCCAGACTACTATATTCAGCAAAACTCTCAATCACTATAGATAGAGAAACCAAGATATTCCATGACAAAACCAAATTTGCACAATTATCTTCCCACAAACTCAGCACTTCAAAGGGTAATTGATGGAAAACACCAACACAAGAAAGGAAACTACAACCTAGAAAAAGCAAGGAAGCAATCTACCAACAACCCCAAAAGAAGATAGCTACACAAACATAATTCCACCTCTAATAACAAAAGTAACAGGAAGCCACAATCATTTTTCCTTAATATCTCTTAACATAAATGGACTCAATTCTCCAATAAAAAGACCCAGATTATCAGACTGGATATACAAACAGGACCCAGAAAATTGCTGCATACAGGAAACACACCTTAGTGACAAAGACAGACACTACCTCAGAGTAAAAGGATGGAAAACAATTTTCCAGGCAAATGGTCCCAAGAAACAAGCTAGAGTAGCCATTCTAATATCAAATAAAATCAACTTTCAACCAAAAGTAATCAAAAAAGATAAGGAAGGACACTTCATACACATCAAAGGAAAAATCTACCAAGATGAACTCTCAATTCTGAACATCTATGCTCCAAATGCAAGGACACCAACATACATAAAAGAAATTTTACTAAAGCTTAAAAAACATATTACACCTCACACAATAATAGTGGGGGATTTCAACACCCCACTCTCAGCAATGGACAGATCACAGAAACAAACTAAACAGAGACACACTGATATTCACATAAGTTATGAATCAAACGGATCTAACAGATATCTATAAAACATAAAACATTTCATCCTAAAACAAAAGACTATGCCTTTTTCTTAGCACCTCA